AGCAGGGTGAATCCCAGCAGCATCAATTTTGAACCCCAGAAATTCAGTAGAAGGCACCCCAATCTTGCATTTGTCTTTTTTGAGCTTGAGGCCTGACTTCCTGAATCTTAACAGAACAGCCCTTAGCCTTTCAGCTAGAATGTGTGTGGAGTCTCCTGCAATTAAGACATCATCAAAGTAGGGGCAAACCCCTGGTATACCCCGTAGTGTGTTTTCCATTACGCTTTGGAAAATCCCAGGAGCGACATTCACTCCAAACTGTAGCCTTTTTACCTTAAAGGCTCCCCTGTGGGTCACAATAGTCTGAGCTATAGCAGCATCATCATCAACAGGCAGCTGTTGATACGCTTGAGCTAGGTCAAGCTTTGCAAAAACGTGCCCCCCCTTGAGGGAGGCCAGAATATGATTGACCACAGGAACAGGATAGGCATGTTGCTGCAATGCCTTATTCAGAGTGCATTTGTAGTCAGCACAAATGCGAATGTCCCCATTTGCCTTTAGAGGCGTGACAATGGGGGTCTCCCAAGGACTGGAATCAACAGGTTCTGGGATTCCCTGTTGAATCAGTTTGTCTAACTCAGTGTCAATTTTACTCTTTAAAGCAAAAGGAACCCTTCTTGCTTTAACTCTAATGGGAGTGACAGTGGGGTCTAGCTTTAAGGACACAGGGGTCCTTTGAATGTGCCCAGCTGGGGGCTGAAAACATCTGCAAATTCTTTGCAGACTTCCTGTAGGTCGAGTGTTTGTAAACTGTTGAGTCCTGTGACGTGTATCCCCAGGGCCTCAAACCAATCGAGTCCTATGAGACTCGTTCGTTCACCCCCTACTACTAATAAGTCTAGTGGACCTTCAAAACTCTTGTATTGCACGTTAAGGGTGGCCTCCCCCTTAACACACACTCTTGAATTTTGAAAATCTGTTAACACAATGTCAGAAGGCCTTAACTTGGCCTGAGTTCCACTACCGGAACAAATCTTCCTAAATGTATGCAAGGAGATAATTGAAAGGGCAGACCCTGTGTCTAGTTCCATAGATAATGGAACCCCTTGTAGCTTCACCTTGAGTGACAGCTTTTTCTTAATGGGCTTGTGTGTGCCTGTCCTAAGGATGCTTCTTCGCGAAGCGCAAAACCTACCCTATTCTGGCTGGGGAATCTGGTACCTTTCAGGCGCAGTTCTTCCTGAGGTTGTACCTTTCGTCGGCCCAGACACACAGCTGCAATGTGTCCTTGTTTGCCGCATGCCCGGCAGGTAGCGGAGCGGAACTTGCAGTCGGTTCTCCTGTGGCGACCTCCACAGCCGATGCACTTGAGCGGAGCTGAAGAGCTTCCCTTCTGTTTTTCTTCCGTCGTGGGGTGGAGACGGTCGACTTCCTCGTCCGGATCCTCCTCGGAGTTTCTTTGGACGTCTTCCTGGTGCACGGATGCAACCTCTGGACTGTTTCTGATCGGCCGCATGTTCTTGACAGCGCCGCCTGCTGCTTCTTCTGCGGTGACTTCCCTTAAGGCATCTTGGTAGGACAATTCTTCTTTAGCGAAAAGTCTTTGTTGTAGATCTCGATGCCTTAACCTGCACACGAATCGGTCCCTCAGTCGTTCTTCGAGGTCTTTGAACTCGCAGTGCTTGGCGGCCTTCCGTAATGCGGCGATGAATTCTTTGGCCGACTCACCGGGCCGTTGATCCCTCTGCTCGAAGGTGTGGCGCCATGCGATGACGGACATCTTGGGGTGGAAGTGCTCCTTCAGTAGCTTCTTCAGATCTGCGTAGCTGACAGACTCTACTGGAACAGGTGCTGCAAGGTTTTCTGCGATGTCGAAGGCGTCTTGACCGCAAACACAAAGCAGGGTGGCAGCCTTCAAGCTCTCTTCCCTCACTTGGTTTGCCTTGAAGTAGTTCTCCACCCTGGCTACGTATGACTCCCACCGCTCTGGATGTGAGACGTCGAATTTCGAAAGCCTTCCGATTTTCGCCATCTTCAGAAGACGGGTCTATCAGCCAGCCTACCCCCGAATGCGCACTGGATTGGCGGGTAGCTGCCGAGTCGACGCCGTTCTGTCGCTCAGGACTCACTTGGGTAAGCTTACACTTCTTCCTTTCCAGGCGGTGTAAGGCATCCCACCTTCGTCGCCAGTGTTGGGTCCTTGGCAGGAAGCAGACACGAGAAGCAGTTGAAGTTCTCAGTTTCCTTTATTCAGCGTTCAGCTTACAAGTAGATGGCTTCAGCAGCTCCCAAAACCTCCCAGCTTCTTATATAGACGCTTCCCGGGTAAATGTGATATTTTTCCCGCGCCAGCACTCGCGCATGCGCACGGCGCTGGCGACAGCCTGTCTGGTCCCGGGCAGCTTTGCACCTGCCCGGGACTGCCTGCAAACGCCCGAGCCGTTTGCAAGGCTCGGGACATAACAGGCTCCTCTGAGGGATCCATCACGTTTTCAGACCAAAAAGAGGTCTGAAGAGACCTTCTGGTTTCCCTCCTCAGAAGGTATGGGCTACTCTTCGATCGGCCAGCCTTACGCCACCATTTACAGACACCTGGACCTCCAGTGTCTGTGGACACCTCCGCTTGCCCTCGGAGGTAGGTGGCCGCTCCCTTCTTGGGGCTTAATTTCCTAACTTTGCTTTGCTTATAGGGTCTTACCAGCTAGTTGCCCAAATCCAATTCTTTCATTCACTCATTCCATTTCATTTTCACACAGTCTCTCCCTTTTCCCTAACAAAAGGTTCTGTGCTCTGGCCAACCCCCTGCTTTCCAGGTTCTGCCAATTAAACAGATCCTTTCTGCGGCTAGGAAAGACCAGAAGCAGCAAAATCCAACTGAGATTGGGGAAAAAAAAGATCTTCTCACTCACACAAACAGAAATACACACATTTTCTTTGTTCCCCTGGGCTCTAAACTTAAAATTTAGAGGTACTCATTTTCACCTTCTTTCCAAAGCAGCCCTTGAGCTCAAACTCTCAAAACTCCCTTTACTAACCTAGCTCCACATGGGCAAGGCCTGGGAAACCCATCCACAGACACAAGGGGGTCTGCTGCTGGCAAGATGGGGCTTACCAGTCTCAGTCCATTGGAGAGGTTAGCTTGGAGTCCCATCTCAGGGTGCCAAATTATTAGAAGTAAAGTCTTCATCCTGGTTCATCCAAGCCAGGAATAAATAAGCAAACATGGTGACTGCTTTGGGAAGAAGGTTACAGTTTATTGCAGAAAGATGGTTCTTCAGGAAAGTGCAGAGGAGAGAAGAAGAGAGAGATTGAGCACATAGGCAGTAGGTTTTATACCCCCCCCCCAGCCTTTTGTTTGGAATAGTTTCCTGTTCCTGTGGCATGAACCTTGAGGCTGTTTCTGAGTGTTTGTCTAGGCCTTGATATCTGTGGTTTAATTCTATTATCATATCCTGCTTCCCAGGTAATGGGGCTGTTGGTAGAAATTCTAGCCCACTGAATAACACCAAACAGCAAGTTGAAATTAGACAGAGATTTATTGGCTATAACGGTTTGCAAAGCGTGGTGGACTCCAAATAAATATTTGAGCCACACCTGGTCACAGCAAAAACACACATTATATACATTCTATCCCGACGCCTTGGCCCCTCCTCTGAGGTTACAATCTTATCAGGATCACCTAAACAAAATACATTATCCCTGCCCCTTACTATTTTGCTTCACCTATTCCCTTATATGTACTTTATCATGAAATCCTATAGCTCAGTGTGGAAATCCTATAGCCTACGTGCAGAACTCTTCCAAGGTATGTGTACATGTAGAAATCTTGCAGTCTATGTGTAGAAATTTTATAGAGTACGTGTCACTTAACTTTACTTTTTATTCTAAAATTTTATTCCTAACAGATCCACCCTTTTTCTTTTCATACTTAATAAAATTTTAGAATCTTCTTAAATTCATTTCAATCTCTTCTTTGTGATTATTCTCTAGTATGTCTACTTTGTCTTTGATTTCCTTAAAGGCTAACAGTGCCTGTATCTTTTCCTCCTGTTTGATGCCATCCATTATACTTGTTACAGTTGTATGGACTAAATTTTTAATCATATGAATTAGGCAGGGCAAACACATTAGTCCTAATAATATTATGCCCACCATGAATAATGCTTGTTTCCAATTGCAAAAGTTTCCTCCCAAAAATCCCCCTTCATCTAAAAGACCAGTCCAAGTCTGGACTGGAACATGTACAAGTTGTCTCATTTCAGTGGTTAATTGCTTCACTTCTGCACCTGTTTCATCTATCTGTAAGCAAAAATTTGTTAAATTAAACTTCCCACATACCCCTCCTTCCTTAGCTAATATATCTTTTCTTTCTTTATAGTGATATAAGTTAATGGATCTGTTCCTGTTCCGTCTATCCCAAATCCATAACTTACTATATCAGAATGGTTCTTAGTGATTTCCAACTCCATCGTATTAGTTCCATATATTCTTTTAAATTTGGTAAACCATTACATCCTGGATAACCTCCTCCAGTGTAATCACACACACAACTCCACTCTGAACATTTAATAGATCCCCCACAAAGTAACCATTGATTGGGGTTTCCATTTGCAAAGTTCAAATTGGTGGGACATATTTATGATTTTGTTTATATGCTGTGATCCAACCAGAGTCTCCACACTTTGTGGTGAGATAAGATAAACTTAATACTGTGCATGCATCAAATTGTATCAAAGCTTTTTCTGTCCCCTTTTTCTAATATTTTAGTAGAATTGATGTATATTAATCTTTCTTCACCTTCAGGCCTCAGTCTCACTCCTACTTTAGCTAAACTCACATATATACTGAAATTCAAATATGTTGGCATCGATGGATCATAGCATTGTATCTTTTTGTCTCTTCCCTTACAAACTGAATATTGTGTTTTATTTAATTGACATATAGATTGAAATATACACCCCTTTGGTGGCATTGGTAATGCAGGCTTCACATCCTTCTGCTTCTGTTGCTCTTCTATATCACTCTCTAGAGAGGGAGAGATATACAGCCAGGGACAAATATTCGCATTTTATATTAATTTATATTAATTATATTTTATATTAATCTTCTTCTAAACTGTGATATTTTATGAAGGCTTCTCGTTGTTCTTCCTGGACTAATTGGATTGAAGGAGTATCTTTTAGAGTATATCTTACCACTCCAGTCAATGTCTCAGTATATTCCTCAAAAGGTTTCAATTTCTTTTTAATGAGTACTATATCGTATGGTCCAAAATGTTCTTCACATCCAGTACATCTTACACAGTCAATACAATGGAAACAACAACAATCAACATGGCATTTACAGCACAGTACCAACACATTTAAACAGGAATTTTACACAGTATCAATTTAAACGAGTCGTCACCCGGAACACAGGTCCACTGTCCTTTTGGTTCAGCTACTGGTCCCTTCACTCATGTATGAGTCCACCCTTTTTCTTTCGTCCGAACTGCAGTTTCAGAGGTCAGCAACACATGGAATGGTTCTTCCCATTTAGGTTGCAATTTCTCCTCCTTCCACATTCGGATCAGGATCCACTGTCCCACCTCAAACTTGTGGACAGGAAATTCCAAAGGGGGTGTTTGGATCAGCAAGCCTTGTTTCCTGCAATGATCAAGATACTGCGACAGTTTATGCACATAATGTCTTATTACTTTATCCCTTGTTACTAAAGAGTCCATGGAGATGTTTCCAGGCATAAATGACACACCATACAACTCATAAGGAGACAATCCTAAATCTTTCTGTGGTTGTGTTCTTATTTGCAACAATACTAAAGGTAAACATTTTATCCAAGTCATTTGAGTTTCATATTGTGGAATTTCCCACTTGAGGTAATTTAAAATCAACTTGAATGCATTGAAATAGCCTCACCATTAGATGTTATAGAACATTTTATGTATTTGTCTACATATCATACTTATTGTATAACCAACCATATATTAACCATAGAAAAGTATCAATTATCCCTCCCTTAGCCATTCCTTTGTCCGTATGTATTTACAAACAGATTACTTAGTAAAGAGCCAACAAAGGAGTGCTCACCAAACTCTGCTTGAGTTTGTTTGCATACAAATCTTTATTCAAAACAACATAGCTCATTTATAATCCCCCCCAAAATATTTTTTTTTCTCAACTCCTTCGTTTTAAACAAGGTTGAATTATAATTCCTTCAATTCTCTTAGGTATTATTATTATTTTTATGTGTGTCCTGCACAGAGATAAAAACTAAAAAAAATAAATAAAACAACAACAACAAAAAGCAACTCCACAAAATAAATAAATAAACAAGCTTAATGAAATATTCTGAGTTACTGAAATATTTTTGTATCAAACTCTAGTATCAACTCTTTGGTTTTAATATAAAGTTAGTCAAATTCCAATTTAATCAGATTCCATTCAGATGAAAACAAATTTCCATTAAATAGGTTAAATCATTTATAAATCTAAACAAATCAATTCAAAGTCATTTCTATTGGTTAATGGTTATATAGGTGTATTCCAGTTCTTCTCATATTTCATTTATTTTTTTAAAAAAAATAACATTTCTTACTGCAAGAATGGGTATTAAATTTCACATCCAGCTCACCTTCCTCAAACCAGAATTCTAAGCAGAAAAAAAGTTAAAAAGATCAGACCCCCCTTTTCTTTTCTGTCTTTCTCGCTCTTAAAGCAATACAGCCGGCTGGGGGTGGGGGGAAAGAGACAGGAAAAGAAGAAATTATGCAACAATTTCACCACTAACAAAATAGTTTTCTCTTCACATGCATTTTCCATTTCATTTTTACAGTAACAAAAAAAAATCTGTCTGGGATGGGGGAGAAACACACACACACACACACACACACACACACACACACACACACACAGGATCAGTATAGCCACACATTCACTTCCATTCAAACTGCTTGTATAAGCACTTTCACATACAGATATTTCATTTCATACTTTCTCCTGACAAACAAATAACTATTATTATAATTTCAAGGAACTGTTCAAAAGCCAATGAGCTCCTTTCCTTTCCCAATTTCCTTTGCTCTTAGAGCTTGCCTATTAACTTTCTTGCAAAATGAGACATCCGGCCGTTATTTGTTTCACAACAGTGAAAACTCTCCTGTAGCCATACCTTTCAGAAACACGTCTTCTAAAACCCTCATGGAATGTTTGGATTACTTCACATGTTATGGCTTTATTCAACACCTGCTATCCATCAGGTAATATCCATTTTCCTTCTGTATTCTTTTCCTTTTGTTTTATTACTTGGTTTATTGTGGCAACCATCATTTTATTCTGTTGCCTAAATTTCTCTACATATACCTTTGCACATATACCTTTTGTGCTGCCTTTAACATCTATACTTTTCCCTGTCCATCCTTCCAATTTTTGTAATTTCTTACTTATATCTGGCCAGGATTTTACCACAAATTGTATTTTTACCAGAAGAGTATTTGCTGGGTCATCTAGATCAGTTCCAGAATACTTCCTCATTCTGTCTTTCAGTCTTTGGAGGAATGTAGCTGGAGATTCTTCTTTTTCTTGTTCTATCATTAAAGCTTTACTCATATTCTGTGCTTTTGGAACAGCTTCTTTTATTCCTCTTATCAATAATACTCTCATATCTTCCATGTTTTGTCTATCTGCAGCATTATTATTATCCCAATTTGGTCTTACAGGAAACTTTACATCTGCCAAAATTGCCCCCTGTGCTTGGGGATTATGTTCCCTAGTCCAGACCAAACGAGCTGCTCTTTGAATTAACTGTCTTTCTTCTGCTGTAAATAACGTGCTCTGTATCACTCCTAATTCATCCCATGTGTGTATGTTTGCTCCTAACAACAGATCCAGTTGCTCTGCTACCCCTATTGGATCTTCTATCATGCTTTTCATTTCTTTCTTGAAGGCACGTAATTCAGATGCCTTTAAGGGCTCATGTACAAAACTGATACGAGCCTGTCCTTGGCCATCTACTCCATTGGGTACTTCTCTTAAAGGAAAAGCCTGTAGTGGTTTATCCTTAAAGGGAAAATTCTTTATATCTTTCTTCAATTGTTCCAATTCTTTTATTAATACCTTATAGGGTCCACCTCTCACAGCTCCCTGGGCTTGTGTTACAGGAGCTGGTAGGGGTGGTGGAATAGGTATTTGTACATTTGTTGGTTGTGGTAGATTAGGATTATAAGGTGGGGGTAAATATTTCATGGATTTTTCATCATCTTCTTCCTCTATTTCATTCTTCTCTTCTTCTTGTAAATATATTGAGGTTATTTTATGAGGGCTAGGGCCACTCATAGTCAAGGTGACCCATTTACCTGGGTTCCAAATTAAAGCATAGTCTAACTCATTGACTAATGATTTACATGTTTTCCTTGACATATAAATTCTGACAAGCAAAATAGTCATTTGTTCCTAATCTAGGCCACTCTACTTTTTCATCTTCCCACCAGACAAAACAACACAAATTAACCATATCTTCCTTGGTTATGTCTAATTTACTAATTATTTCATTATATGGAGATTTTCCCCAATTACTCAATAAAATCCCTAATGGACTTTCTTTATCTATATTTAATTTGGGGTTCCTTCTTCTTTTTCTCAAACACTTCTTTCCTGGAGTACTCCCTGTGTTGCCTATACTGGTTTACCGTCCTGTGTATTCTAATTGAGACTTCACATAAATTCCTTAATTCACTTCCCCCTGATCCCTCTAGATACGCATTCGCATATCAGAGGTCCACTTTCGCTAAGTGGATACTTGGGATGTCACACACACACTGTCTCAAATTCACACAGGCCTACCCAGTCTTCCCACCGACTGCCTAGGCAGTGTATACTGGCCACCCCAGAACACTTACCTAGGTCCGTGCACAGAGTTGCCCAGTTCCCGGAAGCCAGCAACACACACACCGGTTCAATTCGTATCTCTGTCTAATATCAACTCTATTGGTTCGCCGAGGAAAGCATTGCTGCTCCTTTACCAACAAGATGAGATAGACTGTTGAAATCGACAGGGCATGCCTTCCATGTCACCTTCTGGATCTGGTGCAGACAAACGATCCCGGTCTCGAGCCCCACATTGGGCGCCAAAACTGTTGGTAGAAATTCTAGCCCACTGAATAACACCAAACAGCAAGTTGAAATTAGACAGAGATTTATTGGCTATAACGGTTTGCAAAGCGTGGTGGACTCCAAATAAATATTTGAGCCACACCTGGTCACAGCAAAAACACACATTATATACATTCTATCCTGACGCCTTGGCCCCTCCTCTGAGGTTACAATCTTATCAGGATCGCCTAAACAAAATACATTATCCCTGCCCCTTACTATTTTGCTTCACCTATTCCCTTATATGTACTTTATCATGAAATCCTATAGCTCAGTGTGGAAATCCTATAGCCTACGTGCAGAACTCTTCCAAGGTATGTGTACATGTAGAAATCTTGCAGTCTATGTGTAGAAATTTTATAGAGTACGTGTCACTTAACTTTACTTTTTATTCTAAAATTTTATTCCTAACAGGGCTGACTCCTAGAGTTTGGGTGGGGTATGCAGATCTTCTCTTTTGTCTTGATTGCTCTGGCTCCAACTTTCTGATGGTTTTACATCTGCATTTGTATGGGCCTAGCTCTTGCTTGGGGCAGAGAGATAGATTTGGGGCCAGGTTTGGTTTTAAAAAGTCCTTTTGAGGAAAAATATATTTTTCTGCCCTTTTTAATATTTCTTTCTCTGGGCTAACTTCCCTCAAAACTAAGCAGACCAGTTTTGTAGAAAGGCAGATTTGATAATCCCATTCAGAAAGACTGAGGCCCCATTCATGAGCAAATACTACCTGCAGAAGCCCATTCAAGACAGTATCTTTCGAAATCCCTTGGAGCAAGATTTGATAGCCATGAATGATAAGATTAGAACCAGCAACCCCTCATCCAAAAATCCAACAAAGGACATAGTCATCAGCCACAGCCCAAGAAGCAGGACGTGACCTTCAAGACATAATAGGATTAACCCATCATTAACCCAGAAGAGCATACTCAGGCCTGGGTCAAAGTTCATGCCACAGGAACAGGAACAACTCCAAACACAAAAGCCCAAGAAGGTATAAAAACCCACCACTCCCAGCTCCATTTTGTCAGCCAATGCAGGAACACAGATGCTGTTATCACTGAAATTTCTGGTAACTCAATATCCGACCTTCTTTCCTAAAGCAGTCTCCTTTTTCTTATTCCCAGTTTAGACTGGACCTGAAGATTTTTCTTTCAACACTTTTAAAGTAACGGCACAATAACATACAAGCTCGAATATTTAATTCTCACTCTTAATAGTTTTTCTTGTGTCCCACTGTTCCTTTATTTTTCTGTTCCTGAAATTCGACGCACAACCCTTCTAGGCATTGTTTTTCTGACTCCCCTGCCCAACTAGTCCCCTGACAGCCAGCAGCTGACTTCGTTACTTATTGCCGTAGCTATCCTTTCCTCGCTGCGCGGCGACCTAAATTTCTCCACGCCTTAATTCCTTAGGAACAACACCCAGATCGATGGCCGGTGCAGGGCAGATGCTTCGCCAGGGCTTCACTGTGCGATTGAGCATGTGCGAACCGCTGCTTCCCCCAGCACTGAGGCGGCGGGTGGAGCTGCTGCGTCGCTTTTGCATCTGCAATAATGTGTCATCGCGAATAGAGAAGGGATGGGCGGGTGGGGATGGAGTAGGGCGACTCTCTTTGCCGTCGACGCCGTTTCTCCAGGGGATCTAAGGGGCTGCATCCACAGTTGTGCCACCTGGTTTAATCTTACTGCTTTCCACTGACTCCCCCGTCCATGGCTCTTTTGCAACCGGCAGGCAGGTTGCGACGGTTTCTTAGCCCGCAAAGCCCCACTCAGATCCAACACCACCGCTCTGATTGCCGGGTCCAAGAGTGACATCACCCTCGTCCAATCGGTACCGGCACTCCCTCAGTTCCCAGCCTCGGCCTGTTGCCCCGATCGGCTTGGTCCGCCCACAGCCCCTCTGGCAACTGTCAAGGCAGTGGGGAAGACGCTCTGGGCTGGAGAAGGCGGGCTGGACAAGCGTGCAGGCAGAGCACTCCCAGGTGCTTGCGGTTGAGGCGGGAAGTCTTCAGCTGACAGCCCAGCTGTGCGCATCCCTCTGCCAGTAGTTGCTACCGCATAGGTAGGATATATGCTTTTTCTTGTTATTTGCTGCATAAATGGAGGTCTGAGGAGCCGCTTTAGTCAGCAGGTGGAAACCCTGCCCAAGCCCGGCGGAGGTGGTGGGTGAGCCAGGGTGAATAATGGTGCCTCAAGCTTTTTAGGGAATGTGTGTCACTCGGAGGAAAGGTGTGTCTGAAAAGTAACCTACTAGGATAAGGCAGAATCTGACCGGGCAGGGGATCTTCTGGGGGAGGATAGAGAGAAGGACGGCAGGTCAGCTTTGCCATTCAAAGTCGTCAAGTGGGGTGCCAGGTAGATTTTTGCAGTGGGTATCACAGCAGCAGCAGCAAGAACCTGTGCCTGGAATAATAATCAGCTCCAGCCGGTTTGGGCTGTGAAAATTGGTCAGAGAGATAATCTAGTGTAATTTCAAAAAAGGGGGCTTCCTAGCCTCTTCCCCCTCATTTCTCTCTATAAAGCTTGTCTCCATATTAGAAGATTTGATTTCAAGGGCACAGCATCACAGCCTTGCCACCAGGTCATGCATATTATTATTATTGCTGTTACTACTACTACTACTACTACTACTACTACTACTACTACTACTACTATTTTGCTCTATACAACAAACTCTGACATGCAAAACATGTTCTTGACATTCCTCTCTTCTCAGTTGCTCACTTTTGCTCTGAAATAGTATCTCGGACTGGAATAGCTAGAAAAAGAAAGGCAGGATTTCTCTTCTGCTTATTTGTAGAAGCATAAATATTGTTTGTTTATGATCATTCTCTCCTGCAACAACAAAGCTGTGAAGTTGGATTGCCTGAGAGGGACTGGAGCTCCTCAGTGGGTTTCCATGATTTGAACCTGAATCTCTGTGCTGCCAATCTTAAACTTAGAGGTGACATTTTACAGGGAACATAAAAATATGCTTTAAAGAGAATTGTCTGAATTCATAGGCGTTCTTATTGTGAAGATGCAACTTGACTTTTTCTTTGAGGTATTTGTGACATTCCACATCTGTTAGAATATACTCCAGCAAGACAAGATGAAGGGTGAAAAGGCTTGTAAATCCTGTCAGAAAAGTAAAAGTATATATATTTTAAAGAAAATGTAATAATATACTAGTTCAGGGAGAAGGGATGTTGGTCACGTCTATTATAGCATGATTGAACAGGCAGCGGGAACCTGATCCAACTTTATAGTCTGTGAAAATACATTAAAAATATTTTGTTAAACTTCAGGCACATCTCAACATGAATCTTTAACCTAGATTTATCTATTATTTGCATATCTGTATTATTTGCATATCAACAAAAGGCTACATGGGACAGATAAATAAACTTCTTTCTAAAAAATCAGATTACCCAAAACTCTTGCAGAAATATTTGGATTAGAAATCAGAAATACTTCATGTTTTTAAACCTAGAATATTTATTGCCATATATATTGACAGGCATTAATAGTGTTGGTTTTTGTTCACATATACATTTTCATATTACTCTTATGATTTTGCAGGCAACAAGCATATTGGTTTTTCTGTTTGGTAATTTGTGTCCAATGTTTTATATATTTATAGAATAATTTACAGTTCTACATCTGAACAAAAAAGATTTGTTTCCTGTCATACTTATCTGAAATGTGAATATTCTTTAAAATGTTCATACTGCATATGTTATACTTTTAAAGTAATTCATCTTGATTGTAGTATCATCTACTAATAAAAACAGAAAACTGCTCCCAGAATTACCATTGAGTTCAGAAGAAATGTCCTCATATTAATTAAAATATTATACATAGGAATACTTTTCAATGCATTTAGGGGAAAGACTGCTTTGATGTGAATACAAGAACCAGTAAAAACATATGTCCTTAGCCATATTTATGCATCATCCAAATCAATAACTTATCAATAATGAGCAAAAGTAATCCAAAATCAATTATCCATACTGACCAAACACAGTGTAGATAACTAAAGCCCACAGTATTAGTCAAAAGTTACTGTAATGTAAAGCACATGGTTTTACATTATTTTACCAGTATTTGTGGTACAATCTATATGGTATTGACTATAGTAGTAGATCTAAGTTTGTTTCCTTAAATAAGGAACGATTAGTTAACAATAAAATTGTTAACAAATCCCACTTCAGATATTTATTTCTTCACTGTAAATTGCATTACTGCTAATTACCTACTGAACCAAATAAAACAATGCTCATACAGTGTTCACATAAATTAATAGTTAAACGCAAAATCTTTGATGGTTATCTTGATACAACTGTGATGTAACTTTATTGGGTAATTTGTCTCTCCATTTCAGAGATGGACAACCTAAGATCTCAGAACCAAGTGGGGATAGATTCTAGAGATCTCTAAATATTGTTATCCCAAATGGAGAATAATTACACTAAGACTGAATGGATAATGTGGTCAACACTATCAAAAGCCAGTGATAGATCAAGAGGTGCTAGGATAGATACACCACTCCCATGCTGCCTCGGCCAAAGGTCATTAGCAGGATGAGCAAGGCTGTCTCTGTATTGTATCCTGGCCTGAAACTGACTGAAATAGATCCAGATAATTTTGAAGTTTATAAAGCTGCAAACTCAAAACAATTTAAGTCTGGTGTATAACATAAACAATAATAATTATGTAATCATGACAACAAAAACAAACCAATATATAAATGCAAAGCTAAAATCTAAAATGGCAACCAAGCACAAACAAACCTCAAAGGGATATTCCCACTTAACCAACCCCTGATCACTGGGGGAAGGTGAACTCTTATCATTCAGTCTATTATAATAAACAGCGGTCAAGAATAAACCAAATTATGTACAGCCAATTACTACATTAGTAATTTTAATTCAAATAATTTTTAAGAAAGCAACTTTGTGATCAGTTATAGACAATGTTACTAACATAACCATAAAATGATATTTTATAATTAGTTAGGATCTATCCATTATGTCACTGGCTTTTCATGTTTCTATCCTACAATTGCTGCTGGTTCATTTAATTCCTATACATCCATTGTTAATAGAAGAATCTAAAATAACCCATGAAGTTGTTTCTCTGATTGGCTTGGGGAGAAATCTTAGGCAGATGACACAATAAACATTAAATTAACAAGTTGTCCCAGACAGATGACAAATATTTTTTTCAAGTGGCAAAATAAAAAGGCATATTATTCAAAGAGCTTGTTAACATTCATCTTTAAATATCTCTCAGTTCAGTCACAGTATAGAATACTTGAATGTAAGCATAATAATATTGATTGGATTTAGACTCATAATAAAAAGTTAACCATTTCCATAATGTTCTTTCTTTTAATGAATTTTAAGTTACGGTGCCCAACCAAATACATTTAGAAATGGGAAGAGGATATCGCACTTTAATAGAGAGAGATAAAAAGGTTCTTGCTTCCAAAATAGTTCAAATTGAGCATGTAAGTCATTTGTTTAACAACCATTCAGAATTACAGATGGTCCTCAACTTACAACCACAATTGAGCCCAAAATTTATGTTACTAAGTGAGACGTTTGTTAAGTGAGTTTTGTCCCATTTTAAAACTTTTATCGCCACATTTGTTAAGTGAATCACTGCAGTTCTTCTGTTGTTAAGTGAATCTGGTTTCCCCATTGACTTTGCTTATCAGAAGTTTGCAAAAGGGGATCAGATGACTCTGGGACACTGCAACCGTCAAAAATGTGGGTCAGTTGTCAAGTATCCATGTGACCATGAGGATGCTGCAACAGTCATAAGTATGAAAAATGGCCATAAGTCACTTTTTTCAGTGCTATTGTAACTTCGAATGGTCAGTAAATGAACTGTTGTAAGTTGAGGACTACTTCTATATCAGTGCTGAAAAAAGTGACTGGTCCACCCACTTATGATTGTTGCAGTTTCCTCGCAGTCACATGATAAAAATTTGGGTGCTTGGTAACCAACATGTATATATAATAGTTGCAGTGTCCCAGGGTGACACTGGTCACATGATCACCATCTATGACTTTCCCAGAAGTTTCTGATAAGCAGAGACAATGGGGACAGACAGGTTCACTTAACAACTATGTGATTTGCTTAATAACCATGACAAAAATTGTGGCATCAAGTTGTGCACAACTCACTTAACAAACGCATCGCTCAGTGATGGAAGTTCCAGTCCCAATTGTGGTTGTAACTTAAGAACCATCTATAATTAGTATTAAGAAAAACAACCTTGTTGCGGTTGTAAAAAATTTAGTTTTCCTAGGTAAATAGTAATTGCTAATAACATAATGAACATATTAAAAATGTATAGTTTAATTTCTTGAAAATTTTCAGTAGCTAGCTTTTGTCAGGCCAATCTCTTCAACTTTGCTTTCCCCCTACATGTAGAAGCCTGGGATCATTATTTTGGGATCACATATAATCCCAAAATATATAACAAATATATATTACAATATATTTGAACATTATGAAACATTGTTTTCATAATATTTCAGGTTATGATTACAGGTCTTGCAGAAAATTGTTCTTTTAGATTATGTGAGATTACTTTTCCAAACTTCAGACCTGAGTAGTCTATTGTATTATATTAAAAAATATCCTGCCTAGAAGATAGATTCTTATTATGGTCCTAGCTTAGGCTGCAAACAATAAGGATGTTTTATGGTTTTAATTTAATTCTATCCAGTTTCCAATGCAATGCTTTATTCTCAAAACTATTCAAGGCAGTTACATAGGTATTGTTTTGCTGATAGTTATAAATACTATGAATAAGCATATCATAGCCATTAGTTCTGAAATTTATTTTGAAATTAATTTCTGATCCCAAAATCTAAAAAGAATATTTTTCTTTATCATTATCAGGCTTCCTTTTTTGCCACAAATTTTATTTTAATATATTTGGTTTCTTCTCTGATATTAATTTAGTCATTCCTCTTCCAACCTATATCCAGTATATGTATTCCAGTTGTGGTTACATATGAAGGCTTACTTTATTGTTGGTGGTGCATTAATGACTATATTAATTAC